CCCTGTTAAATTCTGTAAACAAGACTGGGAGGATACAAATAATGAACTCGTTTGGAAGCAATCTGAGTGTCTAATTGTATAAGGTTAATTGCCTTGTATATCACAATGAAAAGAGAAAAATTAGCTTAAATCTGTCACCTCGAGAAATTTTATTCCACAGGAACCTAATTAAACTTCCAAAGGGATGCACAGCACCAAGCCAGAACTAAAGACAGTATATGTCTCCATCTATCAGAGACCATCTTACTAAATAAGATTCTACTGCCTGTCTTGCCCAGACATCTAGAGAGGGTCTGCTCAAGGACCTATCTCCTCAGATCTTAAGAGGGTTAAGGGCCAGAAGACATTATGGACCATTATGGAATATGCTTCCCCCAGAGAAGTATGTGACCCCTTCTCTTTTGATGTTCCAGAAGTTACTGAAAACTGTTTTGTTACTGTGGGCCTTTGATCCCTTATGAGGAATTGTGGGTGATCATCTAGCCTGGGTTTTAAAGGGCATGTTGGGATTTAGTATGCTGTCCTGATTCTCTTAGTTTGGGTGGTACCAACTTTTGTAAAAATAGTAAATAAAACAAAAATCACATACTTGGAGGTGGAACTACAATAGTGTTGGCAAAGAGGAACCTTAACTTAGACCCTCAAAGTTCTTTACCCCCACACCCGCAATTGGTATTATTTTAACTTTGTGCCAGACATAGAGGATGGCGAAACTCCCAACTTTAACCTTTTGCTGCGCTGTGATAAGACACTTTTCCCAAGTGAAGTGGAAGAGACCATAATTAAGTTCAGGAGCGTATAGAATATCCCTGGCCTGGTATTTGGCATCCCCAGTTGATACTGTGTGAAAAATGTCTCACAGCTCAGAATCCCTGATAGCTGCTGCCAGTCAGACTGGACACCTTGGGCTAGATGTGACATGCTCCCAGGCAGTTTCCTACATTCCCTTGAAACTCATTCCTCAGTATTCCTTTGTCTGCAAAAGTAGCCAGTAATTTTTTAAAAACCTCTGGCATGTCTTGATTTTATCACATGAGGGAAGAAGTTGGGAACTAGACCAGTTCCTTTCCATCCTTTTTATTATATACATGTATATGTACATATTATGTATGTACATATACATACATACATATATATATATACACACATACATACACACACACTTTATTAATTAAAAATAGCAAATGAATACATATAAGACATTGCGTGATACATACAAAACACCAGTGACATATAACAATATATACACAAAAGTATGACATAGAACAATATATACATAGAAAAGAAGAAACATAGTAAAGAAGGAAAAATACAGAGAAAGAAAAAAGGAGGGGAAAAAAAAGCAGAACATTTCCATCCTAATTCACAACATAATATATGACTATTCAGAAATCCTGTTGAGCTTGATGGGGCTTGCTCCTAGGTATGCAGGTTGAGGGCTGCAGCTTAGAAGATAAACATGGCTTGTTCTTAAATCTTCAATCTTGAAGAATGAGCTAGAAATACAAGTGTGTTCAGCCTGATTATAAGGGCGGCACCAAAGCTACAGGGACAGAAAGAAAACACAGAAAGTAAGGTGTTAAGAAGTTCTTACATTGCCACTTATTATTCCAACAGAAGGTCAGACTAAAGCAGGTGAGACAGGCAATAAGGTCTCTTTTCTCTCTCTCTCACTCACTCCCCTTCCCTCCCCTTAAATGTTAGGTATGTTTTTAATCTTCAAGAAAAGCTGCATTTACAAGAATAACACTGTTCAGTTTTCAGGACTAGAAACTAATCAACCACATTTTAGCCTAGTATGTTAGGAAAACCCAGCACGTTTATTTTATTGCCATAACACTAAATACAAAACAAAACCACAAAACATGAAACTGTACACACATACAAACTTCAACACAAAAATGAACAAAACCATTACATATCTATTGCAATTTGTATACCATAAAACCATCTCAATTTTTAAACAATGACTTATCTTGCCCACATGGAATCATATTGATCACGCTTTCCTTTATTTTCAGTAAACAGCCTATTCAAAGGTTGAGAGGAAAACATGTCTTCAGGAATTTAGGGCTGGAATGATAATTATCTTTCCAACAACACAAAATTATCTTTTCACTACACTCCAAGTTCTAAAAGTGCAAAGTTCTTCATGAAGTCATACATTCCAAATTTTCCATCTACAATTCAACATTACACTAACATCTTTAAACCTTATTTTTCTGCCCCAAATCATATTCACAATAAGATGAATATTAGATCGAAATGGGACAACCCACAGGCCAAGCCCAAATCAAATGTGTCTGAATACCCTCAAATATATTCCATCTCCATCATAAAAGGTTTGACACGTAATTCTTCTTAAATATCTAGTGAGGTTGCCAATAAACATGACAAATAATATTTAGATTAAATAGTCTATCCTTAAGGTAATAAACACATTTAACATTTTTAAAACACAAGATTGATTCTTTAATTTATGGTTCAGTGCTATCATTAGATCTCAGAAACATAGGTTAATAAATCACAGGTTAATCATGCGTGAGTAAAAAGTCACAATTCTTGATAGCCTATAATTAAATATTTTATAGCTAAACATTTTATTAAGAGGCTGTTATATATGGATTCCAACATTGTAAATTATTTAACAATTTATTTCAGACAGGCTACCTTCATTCAACATGCTAATCTTGGCAGATTTTATTTATTTATAATCAGAAGCTGCCCAATTCCAGACAGACTGGGCTGCTTACAATTTAAAAAGTAAGCAAACCATAAAACTGAGAAAAAAAGACCTATGTATCTCCACAAAAGAAGTAGAATATAATGAAACAACCAATAGAGGATCAAGACCCATCCTACAAGGTCTTCAGACCATTGGAATGTCATCAGGGTGGGAGCCATACAGTTCTCTGGGGGAATATTATTCCAGAAGGCAGGCACAGCAAAGACTTAGTATGTTGTATTTTTGTTTAGTTTAAATCAATATATTGCGCAAACTAAGAAAACTGATGGATTCATTAGCCAAGTCAAATATATTGTGTGTTCCCAACTTCTGAATCAGACTATTGGACTATATATTCTGGGTCAGTGCTGCTGACTTGGCTGGCTTCACACTAAGCCATAATATGATTTAATTCTGGTTTAGTAAGATGCATGAATCTAGCTGCTGACTGACCAACTCAACAGGACTTCGAATAGGAGGTTTTTTTTAGCCCTATTGGGAAATATGAGAGACTGAACAGAAATATAGTTAAAACAAACTTTAAAGCATTGTTGAAATGATAATATTTTAAAGAACGAAACATTAAAACAATTGAAACAATTAAAAGGCCTGAGTAAATAACTATGTTTTGACCATCTACCCTCCCCAAGCTGTAATAAGAAGGGGGCTTGTTTCAATTTCAATTGCTGTTTGTTCCCCAACAGAGAAAGCAGAGTTAACTACAGATATCCAATTTATCTATGGTAGGACCCCTGAAAGTTGCCCAACTGATGCTTGAGGTAGTCTGTATGAGAATATGCAGAGCTGTAACGAGCTTAAACTATGTAAGTCCAGCCCAAGGTACTAAGAGCAACCTGATCTTGTTTGTGTTATCTTTTTCAGTTTGTCCTTCCACATCCACTCCATCACAGCCTGGAAATTTCCAGCCCAGAACATCCACAGGAGTGCAGCTGAGCATTATTAGCACACTGATGACAGTTGCTCCAAATCTATGTAAAATATTTTGCAGTGGCTTCCTGCAGAAGTTAAATAACATGGGAAACAATTTTGATAGAACTTTTGACTCTCCCTAGATAAATCTAGAGCAGTGTTTTTCAACCTTGGCAACTTTAAGATGTGTGAACTTCAACTCCCAGAATTCCCCAGCCAGCATCTTAAAGTTGCTAAGGTTGAAAAACACTATTCTAGAGAGTCATGCAGAAATCTCCTAAGATTAATCTGGTTCTACTAGTAACAATCAGAGAGATAGGAGGGAGACCATTACAGATGTTGTGTTGTATGCAAAAATATTTACAGTAATAGATTATTTTGCAGACAAGCTTTAGAGGTGAGATACCCAAAGTGCTCACTTAAAGTTTATGCTTATGGTTATAAGATGGTGTGTCTTATATTTTAATTCTTATTTCCATAACAAGCTGATTAATAGGTTGTAAAAGGAGTGAACTGGAGACAGACATTCTCAAAGTTCATTCAAACTCATGGAGAATTAATAAGTTAGCTCTGAGAGATAACTGAACACCAGATAGTAGATCTCAGGCTCCAATAAAGTGCAGCTGGATAGCTATATTGCAAACACTTTTGATCATATTCACCTATTTACTTAACATTCTTCAAGCAACTGCCCCTTCCCCATTTATTTTGGGTTTGCCAGAACTGACCCCACACAATATAGCAAGATAGAGATACTGAAGAAGAATTCCTTGCTGCTATATTGGTCGTCCAGATTTTTGCAGCTCAGATCTGATAACCCCGATTGATGGCGAGTTACTGTACAAGTGTGATATACGTAGCGTTAATTCTTATTATTTTTATTATTTTCCCTGAATAGCTCTAAATTATACCTGAAACTATTTCCACATTTGAAGAACAACAAAACCCGATGTTTGTTTTACACCTCCATTTTTCCTATAAAAAAGAAAAACAGCCCTACTGTGAGAGACAGAAGAATCAAAGCAGAAGGGTGGCGGGAGAGGTGCGGGAGGGGACCCTGGGAACTCTTCGGCCCTCGTCCTGGCCAAAAGGGCTGCTTTTCCTTCACAATCATAATCGGGACGTGATCAAAAGACAATTCCCCCCTTCCCCCTTTAACATCACAAACCCGAAGTGGGTAATTTCTACGCCGGGCTGTCTTTGCAATTTCAGAGAAATTGAGGGGGGGGGGCGACCTAGTGACGTTGTAGGCTGAAGCGCTCAAAACGGGGGAACAGAGCCACGCTGACGCCTCCTTGGCACTGAGGCCTGTTTGCAGACTTGGAGGCTGGGCTCGCGGCCGGGGGAGGAGTCATTCCGGGGCTGCCTCGTCGTTCGGGCTGCCGAGACACCCATTTTCTTTAGGTCTTGGGCTGGTACCTGCTGTTACCGAGCCCGGGAGAGTGGTCGCCCTCTGAAGAAGATGCTTTGGGCGTAGCGAGCGCCGCTGCAAGCCGAGGGACGCTTCGATTCTGCTTTCGCCCCATCCCGCAAAACGGTTCGGACATGGTGGTGCGGGCGGTGCTAATGCGGGCGCTGATCATGGGGGCCCCGGGGTCTGGAAAGGGCACCGTGTCCTCCCGCATCGTCCAGCACTTCGCCCTGAAACATCTCTCCAGCGGGGACATCCTGAGGGAGAACATGAACAAGAAGACTGGTAAGAAAGGCGAGCAAGCGCGCAAGGGGCGGGTGGGAAGTTAAAGGGCGGACGCGAGTGTACAAAACAATTAATCTGTTTCAAGACTGCGGACGTTGTTCGGTTGCCGTCGCTGTTATCTAGAAAGACACAGAAATTCAACGAGTGTATTTGTTATTCTGGCAAAGATATGCGTGGGGAATGAAAATCTGTTTTGGGCAGCCCTGGTATTCAGGTGACTTTGTTCACCTATTGTGCTAAGGCGTGGGTTATTGAATACACGACGATTTGCAGAATATGTAAAGCCACACGCTCAGCTCCTAGCTTCGTGTTAAATATGAACCAAGTCCTACTTGGTCAAGATTTGAGATTCTGAAAGTGAAGAGTTACAAAATAGTTGAAAATAGTTGCAAGATTTTCTGGAATTAAAAGCTTGCAACTATTTTATAAACCTTTTGTTGGCAGGCCTAGTAACAGTATTCTCTTTACATGGATTTTGGATTTTTATTTCTCCTGGCCAACATTTGTTTATTTCATAGCATTTCTCTACCCCAGTCAACTGATTCTGGGCAGTGTATGTAGTCATGAATACAATCACCATCAATAATCCTTTCCCAGCCATCATTAAAACACCAATATTGAAGTAAAATGTGGCTAATATTGCTTTTTTAAATGCATCGGTTCTCTGTTGGTTTCTGTTTCACTTGGGCCATTGAAGAACTTGAACCAAACCCAGGTGTTTAACAGATGAAGGGCCAAGTCTGTGGCACAGCCAGCGGAAGTTCATCGTGTTCCTCCAAGGTCTAGTTTAGGGCATAGGCTTAGTCGTGTTTTCCTGGTGCTTGTAGTGCAAGCCATGAAGCATCCTGGAGAGGCAGCAGTATGGCTGTATAGTGTGGGGGTGTATTTAGCATGTTTTTTAGTATGCATTATCTTAACATTTCAACATGGCACACTGGCAAATGCTATCATTGGGCTGGGAGAAGGCCTTCCTTAATTCTTCCTTAACACTCTAATCTCAAGGGATTTGGTTCCCTTTATACAAAAATTCTACCTAGATAGTCGACCTGACAGTGATAACAGTGTTGGATAAATTGTTTCTGGAACTGGATCCAGTTGCTAACATGGAATTTGATTGGGGCTCATTTGTGCTAAATGGACTCATCAGTACAAAGAGGCAATACCTCTTCTGAGATAGCATCGCAGATTTACTTTACAGTAGTTGAAGGTTGTCCTGGAAACTATTTTACCAAACGTAGTCAGTTACTCTAGCCAGGGCTGTCTGCTCAGATACCAAGGAAGAGAGAAAACTCTGAAAGCAAAGCTTGCCCCTCAGTCCTGGTTTGACAGGGGAGTGCCTAGGGCTAAGAATGAACTGATTAGGTATTTTAAAATATATAAGGAGGATTCAGCTTTATACTCTATCCAGGATTGAAAAAGCAGTATAAACACCAGTTACAAAGTAAGAAAAGAGAATTTACCAGGTCTTCCTAAGTACACTTAATAGCGGCATCATACGCCAGGATGATTTTAGCACCTAATAGTTTCCCATTTTAGCACCTAATAGTTTCCCATTCAATTAATAGGCCCCTTTCATTTCCTTACCTTATACTAGCAACAGTATGGGGGGACCCCTTTAGAGTATTATATGCACAAGGAAAGTTGCCTGAAACTAAAATAGAGGATGATATTAACCAGCTCCCTAGTTGGGCCCCAGTTACAAGCTCTGAAATAACAGACCTCAAGCATAGCAAAGCCCCAGATCATGATTTTATTGCTGCCGTAGTCTTATGCTGTAATTTGGAATGATGGACCTCTGTATTGCTCCACTGTTCATCTACATTGTTTGTACTACACAAATACCCAGCAACTGAGGTCTAGCCATCAGAGTGCATCTTTATAAAAAGGTGAACTGCCCGCTATCAGCCCATTGGCCTCTAAGCATAATAAGTAAGCCCAGTGCTAAACATCAGCATAACAGATTGGCTGATTGGATTAACTGTTAGAGCATATACCGGCAGATGAACAAGCAGGCTCAACCCGAAGAGCAGTGAGACAGGTGTATTTTGGCCCCCTCGTTGTTTAACCTATATATTAATCCTCTTGTGGTCAAAATAACTTAATAGAACATCACCCTCTGAAATTAGCTAATAGACATATTGAAACCCTACTGTATGTAGGTGATGTAATGCTTCTGTCACAAACACCAGTTGGACTGAAGCAGGTCATTCAAAATGATAGAAGACAGTGGCAGCTACACAGTCCTTCCCCTTTAACAGAGGGGCCCAGCATGTCCTAGCAGCACTAAAGCTTTACATGGCAACAGCACATATGCAATTACTGTTTGGTGCTTAGTTGGGACCTTGCTGTTCTTTTGCCCCATTGCAAAAGGTCCGCTGCAAATTCCTAAGGACTTTACTTCAAGTGGCCCCATGTGCTTCTAATGTAGTATTAAGGAGGAAGGCAGGGTTGACTGAAGTTGAAACAGGCACTCGGATTTGCGTTATTGCATACTGGTTGAAGCTGTTCTTTTCAGATGGCCTGGGTTCTTTTCTCCTTCCAGACAATTATGAAGCAACATAGAACAGAACAATTTGGCAAAAATGGCAGTACTGTATTATGGTTTTTCTCTGGAGGCCTTTCTAATTGATAGGCTATGACCGAGCATTCATTGCACTCAAGCGGTGTGCCCAAGACATGGAAGCCTAGCTGGATCCACCTGCCTTACCCAGGAATGTTTTCCTGAGTAGTCAGACTCCTTTCTTTAGGCCAGCAAGATAGCTACACAACTGTCCCTAAACTCTGGAGGACACTAACCTAAGCACCCTTTAATGCACTCCTTACAGGGGTTCTTAAGGGCAGATGCAAAAACAGTCCATATGAGCTAAGGCTGTACCCTTAGGGAGAAGGGTCTGGGGAAACCATAGTCCATGTCTTACTATATTGTATTTTTTCTAAGGATGCAAGGGCCCACTTTATCATTACCCATTTGGCAAAGCACTCAGGCAATTTTGATGTATTTTATGTACAGTTGTTGTTATCAGATCAGTATGATTCCATTTCTGTGAATATGGCCAAATTCTATTCCACTGTCTGTAAAACCAGACATTCCTTGATTTCATCCATGATCTAGCGGCAAACTGTTTTATTTTGTTCCATCCGATTGTTGTATTTTGGTTAATGACCATAATAAAGGTATGCATGTATATATCGTCCTTTTTTAATGCACCAATTTAACATCCAGGTTAGGGATAGATCGTCATGGAGAAAATCTGTATATGTGGTCGCTAGGAGTCGAAAACAACTTGATGGCACTTAATCAAATTTAGCATTGGAAGTGTGCAAAGAATGAAAGAGTAGCTCTATTGAATTAGACCAAAAATCCTGCCCTGTTCAAATCTTTAGGAGGTTAAGGAAACATGCTTTGGCAAGCCTTCTGAGACTCAAGGAGCTGTTTGTTTTCTTGGAAATGGAACTGTGATGTTGCTGATCTGTTAACTGGTTTTATGATTATTTTTTAGGAACATTGTATGAATTGTTAGTTGATTATAAGCTGCTCTTTTATATATTGTAATGTAGCATTTTTATTTATAAATTTCTTAGTGATGCTTAGAAATATGCTGTGTCTGAAGTTCTGTTTTCTTCATGATTGATTGGTGCTGGACTGTTCTATTTTGTTATAACTTCCCCAACTGAACAGATAGTAGAATCTGAATTCATAGCTTCCTTGCAGTGCTCTTATGTGTTTTGCATATTATGCCAGCCTAAATATAGTCTATTGTACAGAACCAGTATAGGAAGGTTTATGCTTAGCTTGCAAAGCCATATTTTTCTAAACTAGCTGCTGTGCTGAATAAGACTACAATAATCCATTACAGTAATCTATAATCTATTAATCTATAATCCATGTTAGAACAATTGGTTGTAGGGATTGACAAATGACTGTTGGCTCACATCTTGAATTCTGTTTTTACAAGAATGATTTCCATAATTATTGGTGAAACAGCTTGAGATTATTTTTGAATTGTACTATAAATTCATATTTCCAAAGTGAGTGTATAACCAGCAGTATAAATAGGGAGAAAAACAACCTTAAATGTGAATGAATGTGTTAAAAAAAAGACCCAAAGTGATAGATATGTACTGGATTACTTCTAGCACAAAGTCCCTAAATGATATTCCGTGTTATTTTGGTTACACAATTTCCTTTCTACACCCTGGAGGCATCTAGCCAGTTTAAATAGTTTCAAGTTCATATAAGTTAAACATTCACTTGCACTGACACTTAAAGGCTGACATGAGTGACCTTGCTGAGTTTAGGGTCTTGCTGCTTCTGGAGTACTCAGCAGTTGCAGAAAGTGTGTTTAGCAGTAAAGGAAGAATGCAAGGGAGCACAGATTTAGATTTATCTTCTTAGAGCAGGAGAGATGTTATTTGCTTGAGCAATTCACAAGCTCTCTTTTCTCTGGTAAGGCAGTGAGGTGATAATAAGGTTTTCAAGTGTATGTGTTTTGTGAAAGATTACCATATAGGAAATGGAAAAGGAGGAAAATAATATTCCTTTTCTTTGACAAAGTTCCTACTTCATGCTAGGAATCTGAATGGTATGCAGTGGCTTATATGCTAATTCAAAGGTTATATTTACATTTTGTTAAATTCAGAATATGTTAAGAATTAAACTTACAGTCAGGAAGAAACACCACTAAGTTCAGAGAAATGTGTGAATTTAGGCGTGAGACTGCTGTGCCCACCTATTGCTCTTTGCTGTTGAATCATTACCCTAAGTTGCCTGACTGTTTCTCCTTTGTGGGACTTTCTAGCTTTATAGTTTGTTTTATCTTTATAGTTTGTGTAATCATACCTCCTAACTGGGATCCCGGGCTTGTTGCTTTCTCAATAAGCCAGAATCAGAGGCAAATGATAACGTTATAACTAAAATAGGATGCAGTTAAAAACAAATAGTGATAGAGTGGTGAGGCAGGTTATTTGAAAGGAAACATGTAATATATATTATTATGACATCCAGTTTGCTAATGTGGTTGCTGTATATGGAGTATCTGGGCTCTCCTTACAATCACTAAGTACCAAAGCAAACCCCAATAACTCATTAGCACCCTAGGCTGATCTACTAATGTTTATTTGGAAGCCAAAATCATCCTGAGTTTAGTGGAACACTTCCAAATCAAGCTGTATTGCCATAAACAACCTTAAGAGGCTGTTAAGTAGTTGATCTGGAAAGCATCCAGTGAAACAAAATGGAAATTTAATGAAGTGACCTGAGTGGGGCAGTAGATAAAATTTGTAGAGGAGGAGAGGAAAGGAACGAATTAGCTATAGGAACCCAAAAGCAAAGATTTTAGCTATGGAAAATAAGAGGAACAAGAGATATGTCTTCTACAAATACTGAAACTCAAAAGAGTTAATAATTTGAGGAATGTTTATTTTGAGCAAGAGTACAGTATGATTTTGGTTTTGCAAGAGGATATTTTTTGGCCTGTATTTCTTTAACCTTTACTGAATGTGCTCATCCTTAGTGATAGTAGCCTTCTGGGCTAGTCCTATAACAAGCCACGATTCTCTGGGGAAAATTGTGTTCTTTCTTGATTGTTCACTTTCCCATTAAGAAAATATGAATGTTTAGTGAGAGCAAAACAAAATAAAACAAAACTGTAACACAACTGCACGCAAGATCCCATCCCATTAAGATTTTTCTGTTCATTCTTGCTTCCACAGAAATTGGCATGCTGGCTAAGTCATATATTGAACAAGGGCAACTGATTCCTGATGATGTCATGACACAGCTGATGCTAAGTCAGCTGAAAACACTAGATCAGAACCACTTGCTGCTGGATGGTGAGAGCTCTGTTTTTGTCAATGAAGTGTGGTTTCCAGCTACCGAATCCTGTATATTAAACAAAGGGTGTTAATTGATGATAGGGTATTAGAACAGTCAGACTGTTTGTTATCTAGGAGTTTCTGGTAGCTTTTAGAGGCCCTAGACATAACCGGATGCAAGACTCTCTTTGTGAAGTTGGTACATAGAGATTAGATGGGACAGTTGAGGGTTTACCTTCTTCCCTGCAGCTTAACAGCAACCCTGCCGGAGTTCAACTTTGTGCCTGAGTTAGCAGTGGAGTTCCCAGGCTTATGGTCCCAGGGGACTTCAACCTGCTATATTTGGGCCTAGAGTCAGAGGTGGCCCATTAATTCATGGCCACCATGCCAACCATGGATCTGATCTAAGTGATTAAGGACCCAACCCACAATGGAGGTGAGACATTAGATCTTGTCATGAGGCAGTGGTGTAGTGATCTGGGTCTGGGAGATATTAACATCAGTCACTTGCCATAGTTAGATATGCCCTCTTAGCTCCGGAGTTCTCTGTGCCAATCCTCCACTGCATGGAGGTGGGGCCTATTTGATTGGCCTGCCTCAGGTGACTTATGGACCCAGTTGGGTTTCAGAAGGAACTTGGGTTTTTTCTTGAAGCTCTGGTGCAGAGTTTGGCTGAGGCCTTGGTCACAGCTTGGAATAAGCATGCAACAGAGGCCCTGGATCAGATAATACCTGAGCAGACTCCGATCCCATAGAGCTCTTTGGTTTACCAATTAACTACAGGAGATGAACCCACACAAGAGATGTGCTGCAGATGAAAGACAAAGAGCAAAGCTGGGCAAGCATAGATAAGAGCTAAATTCTTATCATGCCTGCGGAGAGCCTGCAGCCCTTTTTCAGGTGACCAGGTCCCTCCTGGGGAAAGAGGAGCTAGGGGAGCTTTTGCAGGGCTGCTGTGAGGAATATTCTCAGCACTGATGCAGTGGTATGTGGGAATGACCTTGGGAAACAGGGCAAAGAGACACAGCCAAGGGAACAGTCAGATAAAAGGCAGCTGAGCCTGCAGCAGGAACGTGGACAGGGCAAGAGGCTCAGAAGAGACCTTCCCTAGTTTTGGGGCTGTAAAGGGGACTGGGGGAGAGAAGTAGTTTCAGACTTGCAAGATTTTGTTAATGTAGCTTTACAAAAAAGTAGAATTAGCTCATCTGGCCATGTTTCCTGTCTGGTCTACCTAGTAAGGCTGACATCAATCTTGCAAGTCTGAAATGCTTTTAACTGAATGTTGGCACAAGGAGCACAATGGATACTGGTTAAATATGCACATGCCCTTCAACACACCAGTAAGAAAGGATTTTCAGACCAGGTTAGAGCTGATGATGGCTTGATTGAGGTTCAATTCAAATGTCATTGAATATTACTCAGTTTTAGTATTATATAGAAATAGAAACTGTCACAATACCGTATTTTAAACGAAATGATGCAATGTTACACGACCAGTTCTTCAATACATGTAAATAATCCAGCTGTATGTTCCATTTTTGGAAGATGGGTGCATAGCGCAGCAAATGTTTCCAGTTAATAAAGTTAAACAGGCCAAGCTATACTCAGTAAGAGAAAGCAATGGAATTAGTGAGTCTGATTGGGCTCCATCTCACTAACAGCTCGTTTCTGTGCCTTTAGCTATATGCAGTGGCATTTTGTTTCTCCATAGGCTTTCCCAGGACTGTCCCACAGGCTGAATCGCTGGATAAAGTATGCCCGATTGACACCGTGATTGTTTTAGATGTACCTTTTGAGACCATCAAACAACGTCTGACTGCACGCTGGATTCATCCTGCTAGTGGCAGGGTGTACAATCTTGAATTCAACCCTCCCAAAGTCTCTGTAAGTTGCGTCTGTATCTAGTGCAGCCATGCAAAAACAAATATTCCAAGCTATCTACTACTTGAACAATCAGTTTTCCCCAACTTGCACATTGAATTCCATACTTTCCAGCCAGCTGCACAGCTAGGGAAATGCGTGCTAAATGTTGGCTGATCCTATCTGTTGCTGATGCCTGAAAAAAAGTTTATTATGCTTATAATCAAAATAGAGTTATGTTGTCTTTAAATAAGTCTGTGAGCTAGGCTGGCATTAGAGTAGGATTGATTCTCTTGATGCATGCTAGCTGGGGAATTCTGGGAGTTGAAGTCCACACATCTTAAAGTTGGCAAGCTTGAGAAACACTGGAGTAGATTATCAATCCTGATCCAGTGATATCTGGAAAACTATGTGTTGCCTCTCCATGTTTAGTTGGAAAATTGCTCATCTTTTGCCATCATCATTATGGAGGAACATAAATTGGCACTTTTCACTTCCAAAAACTGTTTATTATTGGTAATTAAAAAAAGAAATAGACGTATCTGTCAGCCTGCTGGGTCAGGAACCTTTTGGTGCTGGGTCTCAGACATAAAAATAAAAATCATTTTAAAATGGCTGAAATGAAGTGATATGACATTCAGCTATTTTTATTTTTCAAATGTATTCCTTTTGGGATTTTGTGGAGATCATCTTAGAATGTTGCAGATGCTACAGAGCCAGACTGCTCAGAGTGTCATAAGTGCCATATTTTTTTTTTAATTAAAAAGGGTCAGAACTGGTAGTAACAAACATTTGAGCAACACTTTCATTAAAAGTATTTTAATCAGACTGTTACAGTGTTTACATTGTTTTCAAGTGAAAGAAAATCTAAAAACAGACGACTTACCTTGTAGGGAGAGGATGTCAGTAATGCCTGTGTAAGGCCATTCTTGTTTGGTCCATAACTTTGATTTTTTTTTTTAACCAACTTGCAGTTTTGCTTTTATATTCTTATGCATAATAATGTTTTGTAAAAATTAGTAGTGATGAAACATTTTAATAGTAGTAGTAACAACTTTAGCATGCATTAAGAACAATTGGATATAACTTTTTGAAAGATCATCTCATACAATACAGCCTTTTAATTCCATTAGAAAACATCTTTCTCTCCTGCCCAATATTTTAAACATGCCTCTTAATTGCGCAGGAAATTACTTGGGCTATTGCAAGAATGCTGAATATTAATTGACTATTAAATATAAATGATATTGCCTGTTATATGAAGTACTCACTTTTGTGACAAAAAATATAGGTGAAAGGAGTAGCTTATGCAGATTCCACAGAACAAAATTCACTGGGGGGCAAAACTGGTACCTTTCACAGTAGGGACTTTCCTTTTACCATAAACAGGGTCGTGATGATCATACAGGGGAGCCTCTTGTTCAGCGTGATGATGATAAACCAGAAACTATTATGAAGAGGTTGAAATCTTACGAAGCAGAAACCAAACCTGTTCTGGAGTATTATCGGTAAGCATATTTCAGTGTGCAATATTTATTCTGATTCTCTTTAATACCTTTGCAACAACTTAGGGTTGTTTTAGGTGGTCTACACAAACAGTGAGAAAGGAACCGTAAGCATGAATTTTTGTCTTCCACTCATGGGGCTTGTCTAGGAAATGAAGGGAAAACAGAGATGCTCTTATGGTGTCAGTGAATATATATCTGAATCTGTGTAATGAGAACCAGTTTAAGCTGAGACTAATTTTGCTTATGATGGCGCAGGGATGTTTCATGACTGTGCATTGATTTTGCACCCCTGTAATTCCTCTTTAAGCCCTGCCTGTATGTTCTGTTACAAAGGATAATACTACTGTCTCCTGCCTTTGCACTCTTACCAATAACTCTTCCTCCATGCTCATGTTTGAAGATATTCATGCCTTCATATTTTCAGATGGAGTCTTTTGATTTTGTATTAGTAGGAAGGGAGCCAGTTTCGTGTAGTGATTAACGACACTGGACTAGAAACCAGGAGACTGTGAGTTCTAGTCCTGCCTTAGGCATGAAGCCAGCTGGACAGCTTTGGGCCAATCACTCTCTCTCAGCCCTAGGAAGAAGACAATGGCAAACTAATTCTGAAAAAATTAGATGACTTGTCCATATGTCACCAGGACTCCAGACTGACTTGGACACCAAAAGGAAAAAAAAAAAGGAATAAGAAACATCTTGCTTTCTCTCATTGCTGCCTGTATTCAGGCTGTGAACTTAGACATGTGTTCTTTTCTTTTGATATATATTTTCTTGAGTCAGAATTAAGAATTGACAAGAGGAAATACCCAGTGTCCTGGAGAAGAAAGGATGCTGAAAACAGAACAAATTACGACAGATGGTAAAATTATTCCTGTCATTTCATAACTGAGAGAAGTAACTGGGATGAGAGAAAATACATTTATGCAATGTATGCTTCTTGCTAAACTCTTCTCTTTCATAGGGGTATGCTATAGGAATATATGACTTTAGAGTCAAATCACCCGTCTTACAAGGTAACTTGGATCTGTGTAGCACAAAAATAGTACTGTATGAACACCCTGCTCCAGCAATCAAAACAGGACTTAGCGAATGGTTAGAGTAGCTTCTGTCATTTCCTAACTGGCCCCTGAAAGGCCATTGCTACTGAGAAGTGGTTTATTGATCATCTACTGCTCCCTGAGCTTTAGCACTGTATCCTATATCTTTATTTTCCAGAAGCTGCTGGTTACTCCATCAGCAGGGCTGTTTTCAGTTGTGTTATTATTTTATTGATTATTAAAATTATACTTTGCCTTTCTGTTTGGGTACAGTCAAGGTGATTTGCAGCAATTAAAATATGTATTAGAAAACACAATAATAAATTGCTAGAAATTAAATCAAAGTTAAGTGCTAAAATTTGTATCATTAAAATTTAGCAAAAGAGATGCATTTTGGCCACATTCCTAAATCCTGGGAGAGAAGGCCAAACACTTCTCTTGGGGGGCGAGTGCATTCCATGACCTGGAAGCTCTACAAGAGAAGGGCCTCTCCCACATGCCAGATAATCAAGTTTCTGACTGCAAGACCATCTTCAAACGTCCATCTCCTGCTGAGCTAAGTAATGTGTTCTAAGTTTAGAATTCAGGAACAGAAAAGGACTTGATGCAGATACTAAAAATGTAATATAGCTTGACAAGTCCATTATGAACAAAACAGTAGGTATGAAATGAGAGAAGGCCAAAAGAAAATGGAGAAACAGCTTCCAGAACTGTGGAAGGTTTTAATGGTACTTAATAAGAGAGTGCAAAAATAAATACACATTTTATAAAATCTTGTGTACATTTAGCCATAGAATGCTAATTTTTTGTTCAATTGAGCTCCCATTCTAGACTCTGTCAAGATCTAAGAGTTGAGAGAAGAACTGTTAATATGCAAAAATAACTAATGTGCCTCTTGTCTTCTCTCTAGCCAAAAAGGGGTGCTGGAATCTTTTTCTGGAACAGAGACCAACAAAATCTGGCCCCTTGTTCATAGTTTCCTCCGAACCAAGCTGCCTGAAGTGAGCCAGAAGGGGGCTGCTACACAAAGCTGAGCACGATACATTTTACTAATATATGGAAACTACTAGTGTTTGCTAAATATCCAGTTTCTAACAATCTTTGGAATCATAGAAATCCAGGATCAGACTGGGATTTTGTTGTGGAATTATGAATCACATTGATATATAACTGTCTGAAATCTCTAAAATGACCATATTTTAATTCTGTGCCAAAGTCTGGTAGGATGATTGACTGCTATTTTTGTATTGGATGTACCTGGATTTTGTAAAATGTATTTAATAATAAACTAATTTTTAACAAAATTCAGCTAAAATATCCATGGATTTTGTCAAGAAAAGGATAGCAGTTTAAAATATCAGTCCCATTTTGAGAATTTACACAAGACACCTCAAATAGGATATAGGTAAGATCATAGCAGAAACAATTAGGGTGGACTGTCCTGTACTCTTCACATGTTGTTCGGGCATGTGGCTTCCATAAAAGAGTAGTAGTCTTGAATTTACCAGTTTACAGTTTTGGATACTTCTCTACAAACATCTGTATTAAGAATCCAGCATGAAGACTTACAGTGGTACCTCGGTTCACGAACTTAATTCGTTCCGCGACTCTGGTCACGACCCGAATTGGTCGCGACCCGAATCAAATTTTCCCATAAGGTTCAATGTACAGTGGAACCTCAGGTTACGAACGCTTCTGTTAACGAACTTTTCGGGTTACCTCAGTTTGCGAACTCCGTCTCGGGATATGAACAGGATACACGGCCATTTTCCCTCCCGTGACACAGTCCGCGGCCATTTTTCCGCCCCTGACACGTGGTCGGAGGGGGACTCTCCCTCCAAGCAATAGCTGCCTCCCTGTCCTCCACGCCAGAACAGATTAACGGTAATTACATTGAACCTTATGGGGAAATTTGCTTCGGGTTGCGACCAATTCGAGTTGCAACCAGAGTCACGGAACGAATTAAGTTCGTAAACCAAGGTTCCACTGTAAATACGGTTAATCCGTTCTGACCCCGCTGAATTTGGTCGCGACCCGATTTTGGTCGTGTCCCGAATCAAATTTTCCCATAAGTTTCAATGTAATTACCGTTAATCCGTTCTGGCGTGGAGGACAGGGAGGTGGCTATTGCTTGGAGGGAGAGTCCCCCTCCCTACGACCATGTGTCAGGGGCGGAAAATGGCCACGGACCACATGTCAGGGGTGGAAAAATGGCCGCGGACCACGTGTCAGGGGTGGAAAATGGCCGCGGACCACGTGTCAGGGGCGGAAAAAGGGCCATTCGACTGTGTCACGGGAGGGAAAATGGCCGTGACACAGTCGAATG